TTTTTTCTTCTCAGAACCGGGGATTGAACTCAGGCCTTTGCACTTGCCAAGGAAGCACTTATTCCACTGAGCCATCTCCCCGACCCCTATTGGTGTGTCTTGATGCTAAGACTATGATGATAATGAAAGTATAGGAAAAAACAAAACAAAACAAAACAAAAAACCCAAAGAGATTAATTAAAATGACTGGCCTTAGAAAAACAAAATTAAGAAGCAAAATTAGTAAATTTTATGCTTCATAATAATTGTACAATGGGCAAAGTGATTAGTACAACTTATTAGAAACTTACATACAAAGTGGATAAATGAATTAACTTCAAACTAGTAAATTTTCTTGCAGGGTCCTTACAGGATGTCTGATCCTCCTCCAGTAGAGGGAGCAATGTCATAATATTCAACTCCCACCACAAGAAGGGAAGATAGGTTTCTCAAGTTCCTTTAAGTATCTCTACATCTGTCTAGACATTACAAAAACTGTGTTGAAAACATTATTTGAAAGAGAATTAAAGTATATCCAGTGGAAAAGATAAAAATATGATTTTCAAATACTTTAACGCTTTGAAATAAAAAAACTGATTTTTCAACATTCAATTTCAAGAACCGTGGTATATTTCAATGTGTACTATTTCTCATACTAATCAAGGATTTCTTTTTTTTTTTTTTTTAAGAGACAGGGTCTTGCTATGTAGTTCAGGCTGGTTCTGTGTATTCACTATGTAGCACAGGCCGGACTTGTACTTGCAGCAACCCTCCTCTGGAGTACCAGGATTATACGTCTGTGCCACCATGTCCAGCATTAATGCATTTTATAAGTCTTTAACAACAAGATTTGACACAGCACCTGCGTGGCAAGTGTAAGGTCCTAAGTTTGATTCATACTACCAAAACCAACAAGACTTGAGGAATACAGAATGTTACATGAAATACCTTTTCATCATAAAAGTAATAAATGACAAAAATGGTGGAAATGAATGAATAAAAAAGTATAATTATATTGCCCTTAAACAACTTATTTCTTTCTGGTATTTTTTCACATGCATATTTTCATATTACTATAGGAGAAAAAAGCATAATTATGCGGAAAGGACTGGTACTATTCAGAAGGCTGAGGTAGGAGGTTCAAGGCCAACCTGGGCAAATCAATGGGATCCTGTTTTAAAATAAAAATTAAAAGGCTAGGGATGGAGCCGGCAAGATAGCTCAGGGGACTAAGTGTCTGCTTAGGCAAGTGCAGGGACCGGGGCTCAATCCCCAGAACCACATGCTGTGCTGACCCCGGATGCACTGAGCTGGCCACCAAGTCTAGGCATGGTGGCACATGCCTATAATCCCTGCACTAGAGAGGATGAAAACAGGAGGATCACTACTGAGACCCGGTGCCAAATACATTACCAAAAAAAAAAAAAAAAAAAAAGCTAGGGATGTAACTCAGTGATAAAGCAACTCTGCATTTAATTCCCAATACCACAAAGAAGTGTAATTATAAAATAATTATAACTATAAAGTAGGTACAATCCTGAGCAATTTTACATTTCAACTGTTAAAATTTTTAAGCCTTTTTAATAGATCCTATTAGTATTTCATATACTAAAAGTGAGAAAAAAAAAAACAGATACAAACAAATTATATATACTTAGTTCAAAGTCACACAGCTAGTAAGAGAAGCTAAGACCTGCACTCTGGTACCAGAGCCTACACTCTGAACACTTTATTGTAATCTTAATTTTAAATTACACTTTTCCTCTCATAATTAACAAGCTCCTAGTATTAGTCTTCAAAGTCTTTTTAATATTTATAGTTGTCCATCTAATAAAGATATAGTAACAAACTATGCATATCCTGTATGAATATAAAAAGATAAATATCTGGGTATATTACTTTTGTAATGTTCAGATTATTTTATTATCCTACCATATTGCTTTCCAAAATAGTTATATCAATTACCAG